AGCATTTGAGTCAAGACCTGAAGGAGGTGAGGAAGGTTAAATTCCCGCATCCCGCATCAGACCTAGGGTGGGACCACGTCCTTTTCTTCTACTCCGGAATCCTCAGCTCCTCACCAGCGCCTGGCAGGTGGTAGGGGCTCCCTGAATGGGGCGGGGCATCGGGCCTGATCTGAGTTCAGAGCCTGAGATGGTGGGGCCGGCCTCCGCGCACACTCACGTCCTGCAGCAGCTTCTCCAGGTTCTCCTGCAATTCATAGAAGTAGACGGTAGTGATAAGACCATCGCGGGACTTGGTCAGGCAGTCCCGGGCCAACTCGATGATCTGGTGGTGGATGAAGCTGAGCACACCGTCGGCCAGCGGCAGCACGCTGTCAGGTTCGTAGGCGCGGGCAAAGTCGCGCAGCTTTTCTTCCATCTGCGCGGTGGCCTGCGGGAGGGACCAAGACAGGGCGGAGGTCCCAGTGCCAGGCAAAGCCCTGAGGCTGTCGCCGCCGAGTCTGTGCTGTGCGCGCAGGCCACCAGGGGGCGCGCGGAGCCAAGGCGAGCGAGCAAGTGCCCCCGCGGGCCCGCCTCCCCTTGGCCTCCCAGTGCCCGGTCTCACCTTGGGGAACCGCTCCTTATAGACATGGTTCATCATCACGATTTCGTTATCGTAGGAGGAGGGGGAGCGGCCGGGGCTGTGGGGAGAGAAGCCCCATTCTGTTTATCCCCCTGCCTCCGAGCCAGTCCTAGATCCACTTTATTTTTACTGTATTTTAAATATTTTTTGGAACTGGGGATTGAACCCAGGGGCACTCTACACTAAGCCACATCCCCAGCCTTTTTAAAAACTATTTTACTTTGCGACAGGGTCTCGTTAAATTGCTTTGGGTCTCGCTAAATTGCTGAGGCTGGCCTCGAACTTGCGATCCTTCTGTCTCAGCCTACCAAATCGCTGGGATGACAAACATGCACCACCGCGCCCAGCCCTAGGTCCACTTTATTTTCTGGGGACCTGGGTCCCTCAATGCACAAGTCCCCAGACCGCCAGCTTAGAAGGGGGGAGGGGGTGCCTTCCTACCTGAGGCTCCGCGATCGGGGTCGCACGGCCGGGGAGCGGCGGCCCCCATCCTCGTCGGTGATGCTCTCAGTGCTGCCGAAGTGTTTGGACAGGAAGTGGAGCTCGTCCACGGTGGGCTGGTAGGGGAGCTGGTGCAGGCGCTCCTGGGAGGAGCAGGAGGACTAGGGGGAAGGGTGGGGTCGGGATCAGCCACTGGAGCAACCACAGTGGGCTGAGATGAGACACTAGACAAGGCCAGGTTCACGCCATAGATCCTGACCCTGGCCTTATGGTTTATGATCCTTAGATCCCAGGGACCTGGTTGGGACTCCTGGCAACAGTCAGGTGAACAGAGACAGATGAGGCCACTGGCAGAGACATGGAAATGGCTCCCACCTGAGTCCTCCCCTCTAGATCACAAGATCCTGCCCCATCTGGCCCTGTTTCCGGTCACTGCCCCCTCCCACTCTCCCCCTTGCTTGCTCTGCTCCTGCCATACTGACCATACTGACCTCCTTGATCCTTAAGCAAGCCAGGCAGGCCCTTGCTTCAGGGACTCTGCACTGGCTGTCCCAACGTCTGGAACATAGCTGCTCAACTCACACCTTCCCCTCCACATCTTTGCCTTAATGCCGTCCTATCCCATTTTTACTGCTTTATCCCCTGACATCCCCTTATTATTTACTTGTTACTGCTGTCTATTCCTCAAGAACAGGGGTTTGGCCCTATTTGGTCCCTGGTGGACAAGGCCTGGCATCAACTGGGACAGACCCACAATCACCAGTGGGGACACACAAGGACATCCATATGATTTGGCCTGCATTCAGAATAGGCTTTTTTATTTTTTTATTTTTTTTTAGTTGTAGATAGACACAATATCTTTATTTATTTTTGAACCTGGTGCCTCATACATGTGAGGCAAGTGCTCTACCACTGAGCTTCAGCCCCAGCCCTCAGAATAGGCTTTTTAAATTTCACATCACCCACTCCCTGCTTAAAACTCCTCATATCTAGCAGGGTGTAGTGGTACCTGCCTGTAATTCCAGATACCTGGGAGGCTGAGGCAGGAGGATTGCAAGTTAAAGGCCAGCCTCAGCAATTTAGTGAGACCCTAAGCAACTTAGCAAGACCCTGCATCAAAAAAAAAAAAAAAAAAAAAAAAAAAAAATTTTAAGGGTTAGGGAAATAGCTCAATTGTAGAGCAGGCCCTGTGTTCAATCCCTAGTGTCAGGGGAAAAAAAAAACTCATCCACATCTATTTTTAAAAAATAGGGGCTGGGTATGTCACTCAGTGGTAGAGAACATGCTTAGCACATTCCATGGAACCCATGTTCCTGGGTTCCGTCTCCAATTCCACACATATAACAAAGGCATACTATCTGTGAACTACTAAGTGACAATTTTAGGTTGTTCAAACTGAAATTTTACAACAACTTAATATGAAGCAATATAGTTGTTCTAGAGTTTCTCCATTGGATTTAGAATAAAATCCACCTCTGTGTTCTGGTCCCAGAAAGATTGAGGTCACTGCCTGTATCACCTCTTTCTCCCTCTCCAACCCAGCGCTCCACACAAGGCTACTTTCAACTTTCCAAATACAGCAAGTTTTCTGTGGCCTCTGGGGTCAGCACAAGCTGTCCCCCTTCCTGGAACAAACTTCTCCCTCTCTTCCACCTGCCAAACTCAAGCTGACACTTTGTCTTGGCTTCAATGCCACCTCTTCCAGGAAGTCTTCCATGAAGCTCCCCCAAGCTGAGTCACATGCCCCCCCCCACCAAATGACAGTCACATGATCTTTGTCTGCTCAACAGCATACCAGAGACAGAAGTAGGAAAAGGGGCAGATGGAGAGGATTTTGAGGGATTGGGAGTGGGGACTAGCAAATGGGTTCAGGGCAAAACCTGTGGCCTGGCTGTGGCTGGCTGCAGGCACCTGGGCAAGTGGCTTAACACTGAGAGTTTGAGCCTCACCATCTACAAATGAGTTGGAGCTGAGTAGAACTCCCAGGAAGGTGCGCCGCCGGGGCAGAGACCAGGGCTTTCATGGTGGGGACTGCAACTCTAATAGATGGACAAGTGGACACCCGTGATGAACAGAAAGTGCAGCCTGGGTGCTGGCCTGGGCAGCAGGCTACAGGTGGAAGGGCCCCTCACCCTGCAGCCACCGCACCACCACACTCACCGAGACGGTGGAGCTGGGCGTGTTGGTGCCATAGCCAGATGAAGGGAGCGAGGCCAGTGACCAGCGACGTCCATCCGCCCTGGAACCCAACCGAGGTGCTCAGAGGCCACCAGGCCCCATAGGTCCCCCATTCCTTGAGGAGTGGGAGAAGCCACTAGCTATGGCCAGGGCAGGGGTGTGGGACTCTAACTGGACTCTGTGACTACTGACAGCCCTCGGCGTTAAGGGAGCCGCGAGGTGGTCTTCTGGCCATGCAACTGCGTCTTCTCAGAAGCTCCCGTCTCCTCTGTCCCTCCTCGTGATCCTCCCTTGCTCGGTTTTATCCCCACACCAAACAAGCCCACCAGGGGGGACACCAGGCAGACTGGAAAAGCCCACCTAAGGAAGTCAAGCTCCAGGATCTCAGAAGTCCGCCTCTAGGGAAGCTCCTCCCTGAGAGGCAGAGCCTCTACCTTCTCAAAGGAGAAGGCCCTCCCCACACACAGCCTCACTCCCAAGCCTCACACTCTCTGAACATGCACAGGGACTCCCACCACACCCTCAAGTGTTAGTGTGACTAGTGTGGTCAAGTTCATGGACTTACAGTCAGTCATTCTTACTTCACACACACACACACACATATGCACACAAGTGCACACACACATGGTCCTCAGCACACTCCTCACTACATTCATCATCCTACATATGGACCCAACTACACATGCAAGCACAGACATTCACTCATATACACTTGCAGAGACCCAAGACACACTCACACATCAGCTCACACATACTGTACATTTGCACATTCATGCAGAAGCACATCTAAGACTGTCTTAGTGCAACACATTTAAACTCACACAGCCGCATGCTCACACACACACAGATGCACGTTTCCATAGATACATGCAGGCGGCGTGTGCTCCTCACATCTATGTGCTTGCTCACACACGCATTCACACTCCCAGTTCATATACTCTCCTGGAGACACTCGGGGGGTGCACCTCCACACAGTCACACACAAGTTCACACACACGGATGCACATACCCAGGGAGGCATGTGTGGGCCCATGTGTCCTCACACACACACTTACACACAGCCACATAGACGGCACAGTCAATGGACACACACAGTCCCATATTCCTTCCTCCCCACATGCCCTGGCTCAGCCCACCCACCATCCAGATGATCATAGCAGGACAATCCTACAGCTTGGTCCTGGCTCCCTATTGCCTTCACTTAAGTTCCATCCCCCCCCCGCCCCTGTCCTCCAGGGAGTTGTCCTCTGTCCCCACCATTCCTGTGACACCTGCCCCAGACTTCATCAGTTCTCTGCCCACCCCACTCAATACTAAAAGCAGAAAGGTGTCATTCACCTCGAATGTGTAGCTCCTAGCACATGCTGGTGTTCAGACACCGGTTTTTTAGAATGAATAAAATTCAAAGAAAATGAGACCCGCCCCGACTGCTGGTGACTCCCCAAAACTTTCTCCAAAAAAGATGACCTTCTCAACCTCCCCCAAAGGCCCCCAGAAAATTAATTTAAGGTTGCAACACAGGCCCTCAGAAAACCTCCCAGGGAAACCTGAGTCCTCGCGTTGGGACCTGGAGAAATGGCCGGCCATAGCCACCCTCCCCCACCTCAGAGACCAACTCCCTCCATGGGCATCACGCAGTCTGCGCTTGCGCACCTGGTCTCAGCTACCCTGTCCTGTTGCTATGGAAACAACCGGCCAGGAGCCGGGCTGGGGAGGAGACCCTGGGCCCAGAGCGCGCACGCGCTCTCATGCTGAAGCAAAGAAGGCCCGGCACCCTTTCCCATTCAAGATCAGCGATTGGCCCCGCCCTTTAATAGGCCCCGCCCCTCAGTCTGGGCGCTCCTTTCCGCTGGGACCTTGGGGCACTCCACTGGTCCCCTCAAGCCTCAGATCGGGTAAATTAGGAGGAGAACAGATGGCGACGCAGACGGTGCGTGGAAAGGGCCCTGACAGGGTTCTGCGACCCTCAAGGGAGGGACTCACCTTCGGGAGGAGGCAAATGAGAAATGGGCGGGGGTATTGGGAGAGAAGTTGCGGGGACTGTCCAGGGGGCTGCTACCTGTTGTGGAAAGAGAGGATGTTTTTGGCTTGAGGTGTGGGGCAATTCCCATCCGGCCATCTAATAACCAAAGAGGGTTGCAAACAGCAGCCCATCTCCTTTAGTCTAGTCCCACCATGTATGGTAGGCCACGCCCCTTTGGTTGTGGCCCCGCCTCTCCAAACATTTTTAGGTGGAAGGTTTAGTTTTAGTTTTAACCTTCATCTGAGATGACCCCGCCCTTTAGCTATGGCTCCGCCTTTCATGCTTTTCACTCCACCGACTGACCACACCATTACAAGATAGCCCTGCCCCTTGTTCAATCCGAGTCCTCCTCTTTCCAGACAGCCCCTGCCTGCGGTATGGCCATGCCCCCAAAACTAGGTCTCTTATAATCTGGTCCACCACACCCATCAAAACTGCACCACTTGTCTCACCCAAGTGGCCCGGCAGTGGGGAGTGGGGTCGAGGCAGCGTAGGTGAAGTGCTGGTCAAGATGAGGCTTTTCCGGTTACTGGTGCGGCAGCTGTGGGGAAGGTGGGGGGGGGGGGGCGGACAGAATGCAACCCACTGAGTTCCTGCCCATCCAGCCACCCTCCCATCTCAGATCCTCACTTCTCTCCCATCCAGGTGTGTTTGAAGATGCCCCTGGAGGACTTCTTGGAAGAGGAGGCAATGGAGGCCTCTGCAGTACCGTGTGTGGCAGGGGAAGCACGTGAAACCTACTTGAGACACTCCCAATGTAGATTATGTGTGGCCCTCTGGAACCCAGTGTCAATTACAATGTGACAGTCATGGTGATACCACTGATGATCCTGGGTGTGTGTCCTTGGCTCTGTGCTTGACATTCAAGTGTGTATCCATGTGTGGGATCCACTGTATGAGTTCAACATTGTGTGACATTGTGTGCATCCAAGAGTGACATCATGTGTAACCCAATTGTGCTTTGAAGGTCTATGTGAGACAGTATGAACTTGACTTGTCCATGACTATGTGTTCTGTACAATGCATGATGAATGAGTTCATGTGTTTAAGATTTGGTGGAGCATTCTGAATCTTTGCAAGATACTGGCCTGTGTCTGTGTGTCACATTCACCATGTCTGGCATCTTCTGTGTGTGAGTTTAACATCTTGTGACACTGGGCATGTCCAAGCATGTCATCATGTATGACATTCCCTGATGAGTCTTGTGTGTGATAAAGCATGGTTTTGTGTGTTTCTCTGTCTCTGCAAGATTCCCTGTGTTTGTCCTGATATCAGTGTGACACAGCAAATGACATGACCGGGGATGATATCTTGTGTTTTGACATCGTTAGGTGCATGAATGTGTCATCACCACACATGTATCTGTGTGCATCTTGGATAGCAAGACTGTGTTTGTTAATGGCGATGCTTGTGACACACATTTTACTAGGGATACTTGATGTTGTATCTGTGGATTTACGAGTCTATGTGTGACACCACTGATGTCCCGTTTGTGCATGGCTTTGACCTGTGGCTGATGCATGCCTGGTTGTATGGCTGGGTATGTGTGGCACCTCCCGGCATATCTGGGCCACTAGGGCTGTTGTGTGTGTATGTGTGTGTGACATCATGTCCTGAGTGACGCTGTGTCACTATATTCAATGTGAGGCTATATTGGGGGGATCTGAGCTATGATACAAGACCCCCTTTTCTTCTGCCTTTCAAGACACCAGCTCCTGAAGAGGGAGCCCCCAGCCCCTCCACCCCCTCCACCCTCAGCCGCAGTGACTGAGCACATTAGCACGTCCAGGAGCACGCGGCATGGGAGTGGGGGGAGGCCAGGCTGCGGCTATTGTTCTGAGGGTGCCAAGCCCCCCACCCTCCCCTTCTTTCCCAACACCCACCAGGCTGGCAAAGCCCGTAGCACCAGAAGACAAAGGCTCTGCAACCCCCACCCGGCCAACCCCTCCCCCTGCGGCCATCTATCCAGTTTGCAGTCCCCCTGCTCGGAACCCGCACCGCCCAAATTGAATCCCATCCCGGCGGGAAGGCGAAGCGCGGACACCTCTGGCGCAGCTGGACCGGGAGCAGCATCCCGGGCCCCGCCCTGCTGCAGCAGCCTAAGGGGCGGCTTTACGCGGAGGGCCGGGACAAGGTCTGGGGGTTCGGGGGTCTACCTCTTGGTGCGGCGGAACATACTGCCGCCGGGGAAGGAGGGCATCGAGAAATTGGAAAGCGCGGTCCAGAGAGAGTCAGACATGACCCGGCGGCGGCGACATGGTGGCAGGTGCGGCAGCAGCAGCGACGGCGGCGCGGGGAGCGAGCGCGTGGGGCGGAGGCTGGAGCCGCAGCGGCCAGGGGGAGGGCGGGGGAGGGGAGGGCCCTGCGGCTGCAGCCGGTCGGGAGGGGGCGCTGCTGTGTGTCCGCGCGCCCCGCCCCGCCTGCGCGCGCGCCTGGCGCCCCCACCCGGGCCGAAGAAAGGGCAGCCAGAACAGTGCGTCTCTTTCCAAGGCTCACCTGCTGCTTTTCCGGGGCAGGGGCAAATCCTTCTGGAAAGGAAAGGGGCAAAAAGATGGAGGTCAGCGTGGACCTGTAGCCACTACTCACAAAGCCACTGAGCAAGCCCAAGGAACAGAAGTAACGTGGAACGGTCTCGTCAGCATCTTCACCTTCATCCTTGGCCATGCATTGAGGAGAGTGTCCCAGGGTGACTTTTCTCCTGATCCCCAAGGACCAACACAGGGTCAAGTACACAGAAGGGCCCTATATAGGGCTGCTGGGTTGGCATCTCAGTGCATGTTTGTGCAAGTGAAGCAGAAGTCTTTATTCGAAAAATACTTTGCAAGCACTTACAGCACTAGCTAGGTGTGAGAGACAGCAGTGAATGGGGAAAAAAAAATCTGTCCTTTAAGGGTAGCATTTAGAGGGACAAGCAGACACCAAATAAGATTAATGTTAAAGCAAAATAAATAACTTTAGACAACGTGTTATGAATAGAACTAGACAAAGTAATATAATGTAATATAATGGACATGACTTGAAGGGAGCACATGGCCAGAGGGGGTATCTCCGGAGAGATAACTTTTGGTCTGAAATATAAGAGCCAGCCATAGGGGGATCAGCAGAGAGAGAATAGTAGGTGGTGGGAGCTGCAAGGGCAAAGGCCTGAAGGCAGGAATGAGCTTAGCATGCTCCAGAGTGAGATGCTGAATGAATGAATGACGCCTCTGCAGTGAGAGTCACAGAAGTGGGGGTGGTAGATAGTTAGGGTGGCTCAAAACAGACTTGAAATGAGAATCTGGTGGTGGCCAAGGGATCCTTTTTGATGACAATGGTAGTCATTGCTGGCTATTAACTTTATGTATCCACATTCGAAGAAGTTCTTTTTTCTATTTTTCTAGCACTGCAGATATCGGAAGTTACAGAGTCCCTGAACTTTTTAAGGACAGCCATGGGAATAAGGAACTTCAGTTTCCGACCAGTTCTGTATCCAAAGGCTGAGATGGAGTGATTTGGGTTGGGTAGGGCTGCAGGTGGAAAGATTTGGGTGAGAGTTTCAAAGGGTCTTTTGAGCTGAAAATGTAGCTCAGTTGTAGAGCACATGCCCGTGAAGGAGGTCCTGTGAAGGAGGTCCTGGGTTCTATACCCAGCTCAGGGCTGGGGAGGAGGTGTTGAAAAAGTGTTTGAGTGGGCTGGGGATGTGGCTCAAGCCGTAGCACTCGCCTGGCATGCCTGCGGCCCGGGTTCGATCCTCAGCACCACATACAAACAAAGATGTTGTGTCCGCCGAAACTGAAAAATATATATTAAAATTCTCAAAAAAAAATGTTTGAGGGGACTTCAGGGGGAGGGGGATGTATGTTCTAGACCCTTTTGAGGATTTCTGAAAAAAAGAAAACCTGAGTCCAAAAATACGTTTTGCCTTTTATGGCCTTGGCATGTGGTCTACATTGTCCCCAAGAGTTTCTTCTGTCAGATGACACAGGTGCCTGTGCCTAGCATGGTGACTAGCATATATTATGTACTCAATAAAAATTCAATCAAAAGAACAGGAGTTATGGATAGACATGCTGCATGACAGAGAATTAGTCAGAGGGTCTTCCCACTCCCATGAACTAAGGACAGATTTTTGCATGGGGTCAAAGGGCAGCCTTGCTATCCCCAGCCATGAATGACTAGAAATCCAGACTCGGTTTTCCCTCTGCCTTTTCACGATCGGCTTGAATGACTCGCTGCCTAGACCTGGGGGACTAAAGCTGCTGGTCCTGCAATGGCCCAGGCAAAATCAAGACCTGGATTTTCTGGCCACGGAGCTCAGGGACAGACCTGGTTAACTTGATCTTGGGAGATAAGCCCCTGGGAGATCTTTACCACCCGAAAAAGTCCTCAAACCCAGCCTCATCTGCTAGCGCCCGCAAACATTCTAGAGCCAAAGAAAGGGCAAACTGGAGCTGCGGAATTCAGATCTTTGTCGTCAATGAAGACAGAGTTGCAAAGTCGCTCTGCGGAGCGGATGCTGCTTCTCCCTAAGATTAATGAATGGATGGCGCTATGGACGAGGGAGGCATTCGAACTCGCGAAGCTGTTCATAAGTCTGATCCCAACGCACTCAGCAGACCCTTGGGCGCTCAGCGGTGGTGGGACATCCTAAGAAGGTGCACCCGTGAGTGTGAGTGTATCCAGGCACCGAAATAGTTAACTCTACCAGATAGAATAAGGAGGGGGCAGCTTTCCAGCTAGGGTCGCCAGACCAAGTGCACGTGTGGGTTGGGTGGGTGGGTGAGTGGAAGGATGAAGGGCTGGGGGAGGGGTCTTGCGCGGGAAACAGAAGTCCCGCGTGGCGCTGAGCCAATGGAAGTCAGAGCCGGCTCGGAGGGCGGGGACATATCACATGCAGGCCCCGCCCCTTGCCTCCCTTTTCCGAGGGACCCGACGGCGCCGACCCAGCTTCGCTGCTGCAGCACTTGATCTAACTTTGCTGCAGCTCCCTCCCTTTTCTCAGAACCTATTTTCCTAACCTAGCCCTGGAAGGAGGATGGAACCCATGAGGAGGATTTTTGAGAGGCCTAGGCTCCAGATCTGGCCATATGAGCTCACTTTGAAAGCAAATCAACTTTCCAACCTGTCTGGCTTCTCTATCACCCAGACACCTGGGAAGTTCTTTCTGCCTTCTAATCTTCACTTTTCCTGCCACATTGACCGATCAGCTCCCTTTGGTCTCCGACCTTGGGAATGATGGACAACTCCCAGGTGAAAACTTCAATCTTCCCCTTGTTTCCCTAAGGTCCAGGCTGAAGATGGAACTTGAGTCTGGGCCATACTTGGCTTTATCTAAATTCAAGAGTAGCAATCGTGAAGCTGATCTCCAAGAAGGCTCAGAAGGGCCAGACCCCAGGGTTTTGCCTTGGAGCAAATTTAAGGAACCACACTCACATCAAACCTCCCTATTAACTCCTCAGAAGCACAAGCCCAAGACAAGAGCAGAGGATCCTTCTCAGCTTCAGAATCCCTACCTACATTTGAAGTGGGAGCTCCTGACATCTGGATTTGCCCCCGCCATCCCTTCATTCCACAACCCTCAGTGTCCCACTCCGTGCAGTGGACCCACGCCTCCTGCGCCTGCGCAGCCTGGAGACCAGCATCCTCTAAGGCTGCAAGGAGCTAAAAATCGCTCCCGCCCACCTACAAGCTGGGCTGGACTTGAGGATCTCGGTCGTGGGGAGGGGTGTTGTAGTGGAGGGTGGTGGAATGAAGAGTGGGGATGCTGCCTAGGTGCCGGTCCAATTAGGGCAGTAGGAAGAATCCTGGTGACCACATAGGTCCATTGAGGGTGTGGGTCCCACGCCTCCGAAAAGGCTCCTGAGGTTGTGAGGGGCGAGGCCACCGCACAAACATGTTTACGGCTGCTGCAGCGCCGGTGGCCCCGAGGGGCGCGAGCCCTGGGGCAATAACTTTGCAAGGAGCCCCCACACCCCCAGACTGGCTAGACTCCAGGAGGATGACTTCGACCCCATGCCCCTCCCCCGCCCGCGGTCCAGGTGCCCCTCCGGCCGGCCTCGAGGGGGAGCGCTAGGCTTCACCCCTTCCATCAGCTCCCAGGATCTCCGGGCGGCGCCTGAGGGGCGGGTCCCCAGCGCAGCGGGACGCGCGGCCACCGCGTTCCCTGCTGGTAGCTTCCCGAGGCGGTGGGAGGGGGTGCCCGATCAACCCAGGCGCAAGTTCTCCTACCTGACCCCGCCCCAGGGCGCCGACCCCTTCCCCTCGACCCCGGCACGGGCTGCCGCGTACCTGCAGCCTCCGGCGGCGGATCAGGCCCGAATCGTCCATGGCGGCGGCGGCGGCTTCGGCCCCGGGGAGGGAGGAGGGAGGCGGCGGCGGGAGGAGGGAGGAGGGAGGGAGAAGCCGCGGGGACCGCGGCGGCGGCGGTGGCTGAGGGGGGGTGGCGGGGGCGGAGCGAAGTGGGGCGGGCCCGCGCCGTCACTGCGTCTGGGCGCCCGAGCCTGGCCTTGGCCACCGCTGCCCGCGTTGGGAGGAGGAAGGGGCGGAGGGGGAGGTGGAGCCTCCAGATGTCCCCAAGGGAGCCTTGCTACCGAGAGACCCCCATAGAGACACTCCAAGAGAGAGACATTCTCATGCAGGGAACACCCCAAGGGAGGCATTCTCTCTGAGATGTATTTCCTCTGCGGACATCCCCCGCCCCCCGAGATTCCCACGGGGAGTTAGTGTCTGCGGGGATGCCCTCTCCAATCAAGAACAGTCCCTCACCCTGAAAATCAATCCTAAGAGAGCTGTTGTCTGAAAGGTGATGCTTCATCTCAAAGCGCATCCCTTCCCAAAGAGGATCCCATGGGTGACATCATGTGGGAACTCTGGGGAGGATATCCCCAATGAGAGCCCCCTGAAAGCCATATTCTCTATGGGAAATTGTCCCTATCCATGAGATACTCACATCCAAGACATTCACATCCAAGAAATACATTCTTACAGAGTGACATTTTCACTAAGGAGACTCATCCTTGCGGGAGATGTCCCCCCCCAAAAAGGGGCACATATACCCCTTTCCCCGCCTCTCCCAGGCAGACCTTCCTCATGGACCCTGCGGTGTTTCTAGCGTCCCTTCCCTCACGGTCAGGATTAAGGAGTCAGGCCAGGTCGGGCTATATTTATAAGAGCGATTATCTAGTACTTGGGGAGGGGGGCTGTTGAGGAGATTTTCACTCCCGTCCCCCGGTGTCCACACAGCTGAGGCCAAATAGGCCATGCTTACTGGGGCTGGAGAGGAGAGTGTCTAAATCCTCCCCACTCCAAATTTTGGCAGTGGACACAGACTGGAGAATGGCTTCCCGAGTGTCAACCTGTAATTGGTCCCAAGGTCCTGGAGGGCACGGCCGTCGGGCGAGAGCGACCCCTGCCGGACTACGGGGATGACAGCGAAGTCTGGGTCTGGGTGTTTCCCCGGAGCTTGTCTCCTCATCTCCGAGCTTTGACCTGCATTATCTGTCTCTACCTCTCGGTTAGTCGGCATGTTTGTGCAGCCATCTCTCCGAGTTCGAGTTCATTGCTTGCATCTGTCTTTGTCTATGGCCTGGACTTTGCTCCCGTCCGCGTCCGCAGGAGCTCTCCGTGGTGCTGGTCTCACGCGCATTCCTGTCCGCGGTGCTGAAATCCGAGCTCAGAGTGGGGAACTGAGGTCAGGGAGGAGGAAGGGGTGTGGAGGGTCTGGCAGGAGGCACAGCCCGAAGAGTGGATAGATCTGGCCCACAAATAGCTCCGTCCACCTTGAAATTAGCCAGGGAAGGCTAGGTCCTGCAGGTCTTGGCTGATGAGGCCTCCATGACATCATCAAATGAGACTCGTGGTGTCTACTGAAACTCTACTCAACACTTGAGTGTTGAACACCTACTGTGTGTCAGACAGTATTTTTGAATCTGGGAATATAGATGAAAAAACCTTGCCTTACTCTGAGGTGAGAGGGAGACAGATTTGTAACTGTGGTCATTGCTCACAGAAATACACACATGCACCCTGCAAACACACAGGAGCACAAACATACAAACACACACCCAACAAACAGACCCACACACAACACACATAGACACACATGCACATACTACAAACACACTCAGCTAATACAGACACATGTGAATATACTCTGCAAACAAATAACACACCTATAAATATTCTCAGCACACACACACACACAAGTACCTATTCCCATGCACTCTGCACACATACACAGATCTATACATTCTGCACACACAGAAACACATACTCAGTTAACACAGACTCATATAAAAAAAAACATATGTACACATTTGCAAACATGCACTCAGCAGACACAGATGCACACAAACATACACACATAAACTCACACTCTGCAAACATACAAACATTCTTGGGAAACAGATATACACACACTCATCAAATGCAAGCAACACATTCAAGTTCACTCACACGATTCCAAAACTAAGGGATACCCAGTGCACAAACTTTCATCCAACAGACAGACACATTATTCTCCTAACATAACACACACATACATACACACACACGTGTGCATGCACGTTACAGGGCTATATTCCCCGTCTGACTCTCCCATTAAGATATTAACTCTAGGAAGGCTGAGATTTTCATTTTGTGTTCACTGCTGCATCCCTAGGACATACCATACAGTAAGTGCTCAATAAAGGTTTGTCATTGGGTGCAACGGTGCAAACCTGCAGTCCCAGCTACTCAGGAGGCTGAGACATAAGAATCACATTTGAGGTCAGCCTCAGCAACTTAGCAAGACCATGTCTCAAGATTTTATTGAGATTTAAGGGCTGGGAATGTAGCTCAGCAATAGAGCACTTGCCTAGCATGTGTGAGGGCATGAGTTGAATTCTCAGCACTGAAAAAAAAAATTTAAGTGTTGGGGATTTAGCTCAGGGGTAGGTCACCCTGGGTTCATCTCCAGCACCAGCAAAATAAATAAATGAATAAATGGATGAATTGAGAGAATGTTCCCAAGGAATGCACATTTACAGAAACTTCAGGAGAATACACAAGCACACACACACATTTTCAGATACAGACACACACTCTGTTCAGTATGACAACATTCCCTTGTTCATGTATGGCCAAAGTTCATGGTCGGCAACCTTTCTTCACTAATTTACCCACAACACTTTCCCAGGGACACCTCCCTCTACACCCTCTACATTCTTTCTCCTACATTTGCTATGACGCTTATCCTCAACGGCACATGCTTGACTTGAGACATACACAAACCTCCTTACCCAGATTCTGAACACACACACACTCAACCACAAGACACACAAATACACACCCACGCAATACACACAATTGAGGCTTACAGGTGCACTGAACATACACAGTCCGCACGAACGCACTCTCATCTCTCTCACACACAGACACTGTCCCAAACATATAGATACAGAGCTTATGTCACAAACTCAACATAAGGGCAGAGCACGGGTACATACATACATTCGTCGGGTCCAGGGCTTTCAGCGAGAGTGTGGGCGGGACTGTGGGAGGTCCTGCCCCTGTGCAAGCCACGCCCCTTTCAGCAGTCACTGGTTTCTGGACTTGATCCTGAGGTGTCTCAGCAACCCCTAGATCCCAGTCTTGCTGCTAACAGGTGAGGGGCAGGGTGGCAGGGAGACAGGAAGGGACTAGACTTGTGTCCACTTGGCCTAAGCTTTCCCTGCGTTGGAGTTTGGGGACTCTAGCGGCAGAACCCCAGCCTTGCCACAGATAAGCTTGGTGCCAAAGTCCCGGCCCTGGGCAGCAGCACCTAAGCTGATTGTGAGCCGAGGGAAGGTGACCGTGAGAAGGGCCAGCGGAAGGGCAGGAGGAGGCTGAACAGAAGAGAAGGAAGAATGACTGGGCAGGAGAGGGCTGGAAGGGCTGGGGGTGTCCTCTTGGCTCGGAGGAAAGTGGGGGTGGCTGAGGGTCAACAGGATGGCAGATATGCTGGATGCATTTTAAGCTGGTGGGGAGGTGGCACCTGGCCCTGAAGGGATGGAAGGGGTATGGGTCTGATGGAAGGGACTTCTGGGTCAGAAACAGGACCTGACCCCCCACCAGCCCCTCTCAGTATTTGAAGGTCCTTCCTCGATCATTACGCAGCCTCCTTTATAGCTGCCCATCCCCCATGTTGCCTGGCACTGCTTCCTGGGTGTGCATCTGAGGGTGCCAGGTCCTAGAAAGTGATGGCCAAACTCACCCCTTCACCTCAACTGATTCTTCTCTCAGGTGGACATGGCCTGCAGGAGCCACATCCAGCCCAGTGACCTGGCCTGCACCATGCAACTGGCCCTGGCATGGATCATATTGGGGGCTTGTGGAGGGAGCCATCAATTCCAAGCTAGGTCCCAGGGACACCTTGGGCTTGCATCAAATCTGGGCACAAACCAAGTGCAACTGGCAGGTGAGCACCTCAAACCATGCCTAATCCCCAACACCCAGGAGCCCCCTCTCCACCAGGGCAATGCCAGAATTTTCTTATGAGAAGAGCGTAGGGTGACTTTGAGGGTGCCAGCTGGTGTTAGTGATGAAGAATGGTGGTTAAGAGAACAGACTCTAGGTGTTAGACCGCCTGGGTTCAAATCCCAAATCTGCCAGTTCATGGCTGTGTGACCCTGGTCACTTCAGTTAACCTCTGTGGGCTTCACATGGACCACTAAAATGGGAGAGGGTGTCAGATCTACAGAACTACCTTATAGAAGTGATGTGAAGGTTAAGCATGTGAGCATTTGTATCACTTTAGGCATATGACAAATAATAAACTGATTATTGTAAGTGATATATGATCATTTCTACTTGAAGCTTCATTTACATCCCAAGAGAAGTTATCCTTTTTAAAAATTTATTTTTAGAATTTATTTTTTATTTGTAGTTGAACACAATACCTTTATTTTATTTATTTATTTTTATGTGGTGCTAAGGATCGAACCCAGTGCCTCACACGTGCAGGCGAGCGGTCTTAGAACTGCTGAGCCACAACCCCAGCCCCCGCCCCCAGAAGAGTTATCTTTACTTAAGTTCCTTCCTTCCTTCCTTCCTTCCTTCCTTCCCTTTCTCTTTCTTTCTTTCTTTCTTTACCAGGGATTGAACTCAGGGCACTCAACCACTGAGCCACATTCCCAGCCCTATTTTGTATTTTATATAGAGACAGGATTTCACTGAGTTGCATAGCGCTTCGCCATTGCTGAGGCTGGCTTTGAACTCGCGATCCTCCTGCCTCAGCCTCCTGAGCCGCTGGGATTACAGGCGTCCACCACGGTCTCCGCCTACTTAAATTTTGTGTTTAGGAGAAGTGATGCAATCGTGGTCTTCTGTGTTTAGGGGATCTTCAGGCCTCAGGTGCCCAACCTTACATGATGATCCAAGACCCTGACTCACAGGCGTTCCCGCTGCCGGAACCTTGTTGTCCTTCAGAGATGGACACCCCAGAGACATCAGGCCCTGGGATCTTCCCACCGCGCTGCGGGACGCCGAGCTCCGGGTGAGTGCCGCGCCCCCTAGCGTTTCCTCGTGAACTCTGCCTAGAAGCCCCTGCCTGGGGCCAGATCCCACCCCTCTTCCGCCGCGCGCATCCTGCCCCATCCCTTCCGGTCTCTCCCAATGTCCAGATGCGAATCCTTCCTGGGACACCTCCAACGCGCGCTCCGCGATCGCTTCCACCTGCTGCTGTTGGGGGTACGCCGGGCGCCGCCGCTCTGCGAGGAGCTCTGCCAGGAGCTCTGCCAGAACTGGTAGGAGAGGCGGGGCATTGGGGGCGTGGCCTATTGTTTGGGCGGGATGTAGGACCAGGTTGGTGTGTCTTGGGTTTGGAGAGGCATGACGCGCCCCTAACTGGACCAAAGTCTAAAGGATGAGGCCTAGTGCTTAGAGTCAGGCAGAAAGAGGCTAAGCCTGTGGCTTCTCTGGTTTTTAAGATGGCTATGGGTCATGGCCTCTGATGGACCTGGAGTTTTTTAGGGGCAGTACCTCCTGATTGAAAAGGATGGGAACTAGAGGGGCTGGCTGGAGCAGAGGGTCTGAGGTCTGCAGAGATGAAGGCAGTTATAACATGGCTCTGTGTATGTGCACAAAAAGTTGATAAACTATGGGACCAGGCGGTTGGGGATGTAGCTCAGGGGCAGAGCGCCTACTTAGCAATGGCAGGTTCCTGGGTTCAATCCCCAGTATAGCTAAATAAATAAAGGAGGTTCATTAGAAAAATAAATAATAAAGGAAGGAAGGCAGTCTGGGAAGGGGGGGGGAATGAGGCGTTAGGGGCGTGGTCCAAAGAGGCAGGGTCTGGATCTGAGGGAGGTGCTTGGATAGGCCGAGGCTTGGAGCGCGCAACATTACTAGCTGCGGCTGCGAAGCCTTGACCCACCTTCTCTGCACACATCGCCTCCAGGTTCGCCACCTGCGAAGCTGACATTACTTGTGGTCGGACTTGGCTGTGGCCCTCAGAAAGGAGAAGCTGCGAGGGTCGCTGCCGCACTTACGGGCAGGTGAGCGAGAGGCAGAGGGCCAGAGGGAGTCTGCGGTCCTACCTTAATATGCTTAGATCCTGGAGTCCGGACTGGCCTTTGCAAGGACCCTGCTCCCACCCTTCCCCCTTTTCAGCCTCCCCTCCATACTGGGATGTGCCCATGGCCTCCCAAGAGCCCAGACTCTGGGCTGGCCAGCAGTCCGCCCTGGAGGAGTCAGAGACCCACTTACCCACTCCAAGGTCCCCACGTACCCCAGCCTCAAGGAAACGTCCAGATCGTCCTTCCCCAAAGTCTCGCCTCTGACCACACCGCCCCCAGCAGATCTGGACTCTGCTCACTCAAGCGCCCACGCCACTTTCTTCCTAGACTTTTGCTGACGGAGTGGATCTTTGTCGCTCGGTTCTGGGTCACATCCTGCCGGTGGCAGCTCCTGGCTCCCGTCATTGCCTCAACATCTCCAACTCATTATTGCCGCGTCCTAGACCCGGACGTTGGGCCCGAGAAACTATCTCCCAGCGCTCCCGCCGCCGTCGCACCGGGATCCTGGACGCTGGGGGCAGCGGGAGTGGCAGTGGAAGCGGCAGCGGCCCCTAGCGGGCGCCCGGTCTTCAAAAAAAGAGGCGTCCCTTCCCTAGGCAAGGCCCCCTCCCTGCCTTCTAATACCCAGAGTCCTGTCCCTCCTTCCCTAGGGCTCCCAGAAGGGTCCCCCTTCAGGTTATCCGAGAAACGAAACGACCCAACTCCAACTAATTTTACCCTCTCCTTCTGAAATAAAGCTTCCCGCTAGAGCACGTGGTACGGCTCCTTCTTGGGGAAACAGAGAATTGCCTCAAAGTGACAGGATTTTTGTTTTTTGTACTGGGGATTGAATTCAGGGACAATTAACCACTAAGCCACACCCCCAGCCCCCGCCTCTTTTTTGTGTTTTGTTTATAGACAGCGTCTCTCTGAGTTGCTGAGGGCCTTGCTAACTTGCTGAGGCTGGCTTTGAACTAGGATCCTCCTGCCTCGGCCTTCTTAGCTGTTGGGATTACAGGCGTGTGCCACCGCTCCTGGCATGTGTCCAAATTCTAATCCTCAGGACCTACAGCTAGCAGCTGATTGACACTAGAGTGTAACTGACAACAGCCTCTATCCTGGATTGCTGTTACAACTCTGAATACCCAAGTGTCACGGATGGGCATAGGAGGGCACAAGGGGAGCTGACAAGGACAAGAGGTGTGCCTTTCACTGTGTGCTGCCAGGCCTGCCAAGAAGCCCCCTGACATTTATGGACAAGAAGGATTCATGGTCTTCCCTTCTGAGCAAGCCGACCCCACAGTGTCTGGCAATCCCCTCCTCCATATCCCAGCTCCTGCCTAGGGAAAGGAACTAGACACAGGTTGGGATTTCTGCAGTGAACATCACTCCTGCCCCAGGATTGAACCCAGGGGTGCTTAACCACAGAGCCCCAGCCCCACCCTTTTTAAATTTTCTTAGTTGTAGATGAACACAATACCTTTATTTTTATGTGTACTGAGGATCAAACCCAATACCTCATCTGTGCTAGTGGAGCACTACCACTGAGCCACATCCCCAGCCCTTTTATTTTTGAGAAAAGGTCTCATTAAGTTGCTGAGGGTATTGCTAAATTGCTGAGGCTGGCCTCCATCTTGTGATCCTCCTGCCTCCCAAATCCCTGGGATTACAGGCATGCACCACTGTGCCCAGTTGGTGGTGCGTTTTTTTCTCCCTCGGCAGTGCCGTCCATCTGTTTCTACCAACATCACCACGCAGCTGAGTGAGGTACTGGGCGCCAATGTCGGAGGTCACTAGGTGAGAGCAAGTGTTCAGCTGTACCTGCAGTCCCCTTCAAGAAACATCCTTATGCAGAAACACACTTACACAGCACAGGACTTTTGGTCCTGGTAATCAAAGAAAGGGTCCTGTGTGTGCTGGGCAGGCTCTCTACCACTGCTACCCCCCAGTCCCAGGGCAGGGCTATATTTTAAAAATCAAATCAGTCCAATACTACCCAAAAGGCAGCAGCTGCATAGGGCTGCTGAAGTCACTCCCATACCTCTGGCCCCAAGGACAACCCCTCCATTTGCTTATCCTTCAACAACTTTAATCCTCCTTGATGAGGGGAGGCAGGCCTGGGGAGGAAGGAGGCACCTCCTACAGGGCAGTGGCTGGTTCCAGGCCCCGCTCCTGGAAGTATCTGTGGGGGGCACGGGGGCGGGCTCGGGAGCCTTTGTTGAAGTAGGCGGTGATCCTCTCAGGTCCTTCCAGGTCCTGTGCTGGGGAGTCCTCCCTGTGGAGAGAGGAGTGACATGACCACTTCCGGGATGGGGCCTGGCCCTCCCATCCCCCTCCTATAGCACCCACAGCACCCACCACAACACATCTGCCGCCTCCTTTTCCAGGATGGTCTGGGCTGTGCTCCAACTGAACCGAACAAACTGGGGGAAGCCAAACACCGGTTCCACTTGTTTCTTCAACCATGCTTTTGTCTTGGGATCTGGGGGTGGGACAGGCAATGACAGCAGTCCCCAAGTCTCAAGGTAACACCCAAGCTCCAGGTCCACTCACCTTTGACTTCCTCCTGAGTGCTTGGGGCATTTTGTGCCTCAGGCCCTTTGCACAGGCAGGTCCTTCCCTCCCATTCTGTGCCTGGCTGAGCAGTGCTCAAGGTGCAACTTGAGACTGCCTCTGAGATAGCCTCTGACCCCCAAGGACAACAATGTAACACCCATTCTCTCCACAGGCAGGAGCTCAGTGAGGCCTTGAGATGTTTGACTTACTGCTGTATCCCCAGGGCTCAGTCCTGCATGGCAAGTACCAGGCATCCTGACTTCTAATCACCTGAGGGGGCTCTGCTCCCCACCCAGCTTCAAAAGGACTGGAGCTATCCTTGAACCCAACCACCAAACCTTCACTGTATCTTTCTGTTTGCACTGCAGGGATAAAAGCCCTGCCCGTGAATGCGGGGCAAGTGCTCTACCTGAGCTGCCACCAGCTCCGCCACTGAATCCTCACACCTGCCCTTGATGCCTGCATGAGGTTTGCAGGAAGGTGAGTATGAGACTGCCTTCATTGTATAATGAGGACATGGAGCCTCCTGGTGGAGAGACAGCACAGATTACAGATTTAAACTGAGGCCACAGGATGGAGCCAGGACCCCCATTCCTGCCTCCTTCCCCTTAACAAGCAGATACCTTTGGTCTCAGCCCCTGCCCTTTTTTTGGGGGGTGGTAGTGGCAGGTACTAGGGATTGAACCCGGGGGCACTTAACCACTGAACCACATCGCTAGCGCCCCCCTTTTTTGAGACAGGGTCTTGCAAAGTTGCTTAGGGCCTCGCTAAGTTGTTGAGGTTGGCTTGAACTTTCGATCTTCCTGCCTCACTCTCCCAAGTCCCTGGGATCATAGGTGTGCGTCACCAACGCCCAGCTCAATCTCTCACTCTCTGGGGCTCCAGACAGCAAAATGAGGGAGGGGAGGAGAGAGCCTATGAGCTGGAATCCAGCTGCCACTCACTGGCCATGAGGCCCTGATCAGACATACAGTGTCTGGGGTTCAGACTCTTCTGCTATGGAGCGGAGCGGCCAGAACGATTTAGAAACCTTCAGCAGTGTGCTCGACGTAGCTACGTCAGTGTTACCACCACAGTGGGGGTCTCAGGGCAGCTGCAGAGCAGGCCTGACTGCCATCTGCTCACCATTAGGGTAGCCGGAGCCATAATCAGCATCCAGGTCCTGCAGGTCCTCCACAAACTGCCAGTTCTTCACTGCCTGGTCTCGAGCCACCTGCAGGCAGGACAGAAACTTGGAATCTCCTTCCCCCAGGGGAGCCAAGGCTGGTCCCTCCCAGAGAGATGCCAGAAATCATCCACGGTCAGTGGGGGGCTGACCTTGGCACAGATGCTGGCAGCGCTGACCACAGGGTAGAGGGCATCTGCTTTGGCCTTGACTGTCACGTCAATTCCAGGAAAGCGCTGCTGCAACCGCTCCTGGTATGTCTCCGGCAGCCCCACTGTGTCCACGAACACCTATCATGGTGACAGAAATGTTCTCATTCAACAAACAGCTGGAAAAAGAACTGTGCAAAGGATCCAACCTCTCAGCCATTGTACTTGCTGTTTTCAATTCCCACAATCATTTTTTTTTTTTTCCTCAGGGAGCTGGGAATGGAACCTCGGTCCTAACACATGCCAGGAAAGTGCTCTACCACTGAGCCCTTTTCCCAGACTGACATTGACTTTTATTAAATGTAAAAAGTATTTTGTTGGTGCTAGGGATGCAGTTCAGTGGAAGAGTGCTTGCCTGGAATGCACAAAGACCTGGGTTCCATCCTCAGCACCCCCTCCCCCCACACACACACAAAAGGCTTTGCCTGATCATGCTGCAGACACTGCACACTTACTAAGCACCTAGTGCATGCCAGATGCTGTCGTACGTAGTAAGGACATGGCAGCAAACAAACTACAGAAAAATCTCAGCCTTTGTTGGGTGAAAATCTTGGTGAGGGCAAAGACAAAAAACAGGATAAGTACAGAACAGGAAAAAGTTTAAAGCGGTTATAATTTTAAATACTGACAAGGAAGATCTAAAGTGGTGATATTTGAATAGACTTGAAGGAAGTAAGGAAATAAACCATGTGGAGATCTGGGAAAGAGTGTTCCAGGAGGAGGAAAGAGCCAGTGCAAAGGCCCTGAGGTTGAACCATGTGGATGTTGCTGAACAACTGATTGGAGGCTCCATGGTTGAAGCATAGAAGTGAGGTCAAGGAGCTGATGGTTCAAGTGGTGCCTCTATGGAAATTATCATTTTCAGAAATCATATTTACTTTTTGTGTACCAGCTGACCATCTGTTTCTCCAGATTAAGCCTTGAAACCCTAAGTATAGCATCACCCACCAGCTCTGCATTCAGGGTTGGGGCCTCAGCCACTTCCTCAGCAAAGTCTGCCTGCTACATTTCCTGTATCAGAGTTATTTCCCCTGGTAATTCTCACAAAGCCTACCATCTTTGACTCAGAGCAATTGATGCAATGCTGACTTATGTTTTTCTCTGATAATTTAATCTCATTCTCCCCCACTTGACTCAATTTTCCTGATTTAATTTCCACTGTGATCATAAAATTAAATGTCATGATTTACATTTCACAAAGACAACCGTCTGCTGTGTGGGGAACAGATTGGAGAGGAAGGGGATGAAGGTGGGGGAATCAGGGAGGAAGCAGGGCAGATTTCCAGGTTGCAGAGGGTACACTGGGCTAGGACAGAGGCTGTGGGAAGATCGACAGACGTGGGACTTGTTCTAGACCTTTAGAATAAGGGTTCAGATTAGACAGCAATGGAGCACACATTTAGGTCAGGAACAGGAGTGGGGATTCAGTGGCAGCAATGAATATGCCTGAGGCACTCCTGATGATCTTTTTGCGTGCTACCGCTTGAGCCACATCCCCAGCCCAACTCCTGATGATCTGATGTTGAATCTGTCCACTGCACTTTCTTTTTTCTTAAAACAATTATAATCTTTTTATTTTCTTGATGTTGGGGATTGAACTCAAGGCCCTGCACATACTAAAGACATACTCTTACCACTGAGCTCCACCCCCAGGCCACACTGCACTTCATAACCTCCATTTCATCCAAAGATGATTAAATAGAGGCAACCCAACGATCAGCTCACCTGGGTGACTCTCACACCCTGGTCCAATGCATACTGTATTAGTCCAGCAGCTGTATCGTGGGACAGGGCGTTCAGGTTGTATTTGACCCTGCAGTGGTGGGTAGAGCTCAGTTAAACCCATTCCAGCCACAGGGCCCACCTAGGCCATGCTGGCCTACCCCTCCACCCCAGCCCCTCTGAAGCACCCCTCACCGCCCAAGCATGCTGGTAGAGATGAGGTTTGGAGATAGCACGTCCAGAGCCCAGCCCACAAAGTCCCCGTTCTCCTCCATTTTGGCAAAGAGCCTGTCCCGATCGCTCTCCGACATGGTCTTTGAGTCTGGGAGGAGAGTTGGAGAAAAGGGAGGCAGCTTGTTTTCCCAATTCCTGATCTTCCCCTAGATTTCTCACCTGCTCCCCCCACCCGGCACATGCCCAGGAACCCCATCCTCAGAAGTGTATTTCAGGCTCACCTGCCACTTTCATAGCCTCCAGATCTGCCAGGCGGGTCAAGGGACAATAACAGATGGCGTAGACCATGGGCCCTGGGGAGAAGAAATGTCAATATTTCTGGGAACAAGGGTCCAACTAGTGAGTCCGTGTCAGCCACCAACTCTCTTCCATCACCACTGCTTTGTTCAGTGCCACCACCCGATGCCATGGTCATCCCACTATAACTCATGGTCATCACGCTTCCCCAGGTCGGATGCAATCCCGACTCAGGTTCCAGGGCGACTGTCTTTCCCTTACTACGCCCCTCCCCTTCCCTGGCCCTAGGGACGCACCAAGCACAGGGCCCCGACCCGCTTCATCGACGCCGAGAACGCATGACTCCTTGCGGCACACGGCGGGCACTGGCGAGCTCAGGCGACAGCGGCCTGTATTGTCTTTCTCCAACTCGCTGAAATCCATACCCCCTCAGCGGCCGCCGCCAGCTGCAAGAAGGAGCGCCGCAGGCGCTGGCCTTGGCGCGCGATTGCCGTGGGCTCCACAGCAGCGCTGGATCCTGACCAATCAGCGCGCGGGACACGCCCCCGACGCTCCCGCCGGCGCGGACGTTTACGCATGCAGCGCCAACGCCGCTGCCGTGCGGCCTCCTGGGAATTGTAGTCCCCACGGGAGGCAACGGAGGGCGTGCTTTGCACCGGGTCACTTTCCGAGCTCCGCCCCGGGGTCTCTCGTGCCTTGCTCGTGGACGCTGCTGAAAAAAGAGGAAAATAAAGGGGAAACTGAGGCGCAGCTCAGTTTGACTCTGTTTTGGGGCAAAGAAGGCCAAATATCATGCCCAGTCCGTTGCTCTCCGCACCACTGGGCCCCGGCCCTTGGCGGCCCTTATTCTAGTGGTTCCTGCCGTTATATACGCATTCTGAAAACTGTGTTTTCTGCACTATGTATTCCCATTGTTTCTCGGTCAGGCCTTCCAAGTTGGAGTCCCTAAACTCCCACTTTCGGCCGTTAACTTGTATCCCCCCTGCTACCAGGATCTCTGCCTCCTACTCTAATTAGGGCCAAGCCTCCCCTACTCCTAATGGAGATCCACAACCCAGCAGATTCCTGCTTATAGAGTCTCAGGCCTCCTCAACCCATAACCCCCCTTTCTTCTGCTCTCCCCTCCCAGGCCCCTCTGCCACTCCTGCCGCACCTCTCCTTCTATCCCTTGGACTCTGTAGGGTTCATGTCCTCTGCCTGTGGGTTTCTGCTCATCGGAACCATGCGCCTCTATCAATTTCCTAGTTCCCCCATCTCCCCATCCCTCCAGTGCATACCACCTTTTTGTTTTCTTCCTGGACATCAGGGAAGGCTCTTTTTTGTTTTTTGTTGTAGATGGACACAATTACCTTTATTTTATTATTTATCTTTATGTGGTGCTGAGGATTAGACCCAGGGCCTCACACATTGCTAGGCAAGAACTCAACCACTGAGCCACATCCCCAGCCCTATTCCTATTATGTATTTTCTTTAGAGGCAGGGTCTCACTGAGTTGTTTAGTGCCTCGCTTTGGCTGAGGTTGGCTTTGAACTCCCAATCCTCCTGCCTCAGCCTTCCAAGTTGCTGGGATTACTGGGTGCACCACCCCACCTGAAGGCTCTTGACTCAGAGGTCTTGACTCAGCTCGCCCCTCCCCTACTGGCCTCAAGACTCAGATTTAGGGCCCCAGTTATCTCCTTCCTCTTACTAGCCTCACACCCTCTACAAACACCTCCCTTCCTCTTTCCCTCCCCTCCTTTGGGACCCATGGCCTTGCCAGTTGCTTCTGCCCCTGCCTGCCTCCTCTATGCCAGTCTCTCACCTGGGTTCAGGGCCTCCAGTTGCAGTCGATTGGCTTGCAGGATGGACAATCCCTTTGCCTGCAGGGCCTCGTCTGGACCAGGTTCTCTCGATCCATGAACACCATGGGATCTGGAGCTGTGCCCAGCACCTCGCGGCTGCGTTCTTGTTTGCCCAGGTTGCAGAAACAGTGCCACTTTCCCCAGGGGCCTAGGATCGAATCCTCCAAGACTAAAGATAGAGATGAAGACTCAGGTAGGGGTGCCTCCAGGAAGGCACAAAGATAATTATACTAACAAACAATGGCTCATATTTGCTAGGCAGTTTGCCAGGCTCTGCCTGTATGCCTTTTAGTCTTCCCATTAGTCCCAGGTGAGAAAACTGAGACCTAGAGATTCATTCTCCCAAGGTCACACATCTGGTGAGCCCAGAGGGTCTGCAAACTGACATCTCTAAACTGTGCCAGCTTGCCCAGTGGGAGTATAGACACCCTTGGTGCCTGCCATCCGAAGTTGAGAAGTTGACTCTTGTCCTCAGAGGCTTGATCATAGGCCTATCTAACAGGCACAATGCCACCTTACCAGCAGGGCTGACAGGTGGTAAATTAAATGACATAATTGACATAATGAAGGTACTTAAAGCCCCTGATGAAGAACCAAAATAATTATCATGATCACTTTGAAAGAAGCTATAAATAGTGGGGCAGTGGAACATGCCAGCAATCTCAGCCACTCAGAAGGCTGAGACAGGAAAATTGCAAGTTTGAGGCCAGCCTCAGCAACTTAGCCAGGCCCTAAGCAATTTAGCAAAACCCTGTCTCAAAATAAAAAGGCTGTGGATGTATGGATGTAGCTCAGTGGTAAAGCATCCCTGGGTTCAATCCTGTCCTTCCCCACAACCAAAAAAAAAAAAAAAAGGAAAAAGGAGATATGTAACTTTTTGTGTGGAGGCGGTGGAGTGCTGGGGATGGAACACAGGGTCTTAGGGTCTGAGATACCCTCTAAACCACAACTTATTAAGATGTCCTTTACAACATTGTTTTGGCATGCTAGGCAAGTCTTCCGTGCTGAACTAAGGCCCACACTCCTACAACAGTCTTTACTATTTTTTTTTCTGTGCCACTATGAAGCAGGCCTTACCCCAACTCCCAGCTCTCAGAGCTTGACACTCATGCCCTAGCTTGCCCCGTCTCTGCCACATCACATTCCCCCTTTCCTTTCCTCCAATAGGCTTTTTAGCCTTGTCACTGTCTGTTCCCTTTGCCTGAGACACTGTCTTCCCAAATCTGTGCTTTTCATGCTTTTGTTTATCATTCTGGCTGCGTTGGTTGCCAATTTTTTTTTCTGTATTCCCAAATGTACCTGTCCCCTTCTTCCACCGTCTTTGCCCTTCCTAGCACCTATCCATGAGTTCATGGATGTGTCCGTCTTCATGTTTGTTGCCTATCTAGGCCTGATCTTCCTGTGAATTGCTTTCAGGCAGTGTTCACTTCACTTTACAGATAAGAAAACTGGGCCTTGGAGAAAAGTAACCAGCCCCAGGGGAGCTGGCAGTGCGGAGCTGGGCGAAGATTTGAAAGCCATGGAGGAGGAGAGTCTGTTTGCAGCCAACTGGAGAAGTAGGGTCATGGGGCATTGTCATACCCGCCGCCTGCGATTACCCTTTTGATGTTGCTGCCGCAGCAGCTCCCAGGTGTCACCTTCTCCCTTGTCGCCGAAGTACTGGTAGTCGGGGGAGAGCTGGACAGCTGTTGTCCGCGCCAGGAGCATCAGAGGCAACAGCACCAAGGCCGGCTGGCGCCGGGCCATGCCGGACGCCAACCGTCTCCAGCGCGTTCTGCGACCCAGCCACGCGACTAGTTCGCGGCTCACGCACTACCCCACAGGCTAGCGCAGTGGTGGCGGCGGGCTGCCGAACTGTCCCCTTCACCGCGCAGGCGCAAGGCCCAGCCGCGCCGCTCCCCCTCCCTTGCCGGCGCAGTGGACCTGACCGCTCGGCTCGCCAGCCCCGCCCCAGCCCTGCGCGTCACGGTTCGGGCGGTGCATAAGAGACTCCGCGGCCCAGGGCACACTTGGCTTTGAGAACTCGAGTCGGTGCATCTGTTCTTCAGCGTGTCCGTCTCTTGCACACGCAGGTATGGACACTTGGTGCACATCTGAATGGGGGTGAGCCCCCTTCCTGAGTTCTGGCCCTATCAGGACCTCCCTGCTGGCCGCCTTTGTTTTCCATCCGCCATAGTGGCTGCCTTTGTCCTTGCGAGGGAAACTGAGGCCCCAGCCTTGGAGTACGGGCCCGATAGCCGGGCTCCCCACACCCTGCCCCAGAGGTTCTCGATATCTCCTCTGGACTGGGGCTTGCGCCACTGCGCTCAGGCTCACTCACTGGTGGGGCCTAGGGACAGTGGCCCTGCCACTTTTATTCTGCTTAAGGGGGCGGGTCTCCGGCAGCCTCCCGGCCTTGTAGAACCGGCAGCGGGGAGGGTGAGTATGAGCGCCGCGGCCTCCTCTGCTCTGTCTCCGTAACTGGGCCCAGCACATAGCGTGACCTTGGAAAGGGAGGACAAAGGGTCTTCCCTTGTGCACTGATCAGCGCGGGTCTTGGCTTTCAGTCATGGCCTCTGGAAACGCGCACATTGGAAAGCCCGCCCCTGACTTCACAGCCACCGCGGTGGTGGATGGTGCCTTCAAGGAGGTCAAGCTCTCTGACTACAGAGGTGAGACGGCCTGGCGGGGGTCCAGGTGGGGGCGGGGCCCACGGATCAGAGAGGCTAGGTCCTAATTTCTCATCTGTTTCCCTCGACCACAGGGAAGTACGTGGTCCTCTTTTTCTACCCACTGGACTTCACTTTTGTGTGCCCCACGGAGATCATCGCTTTCAGCGAACATGCTGAGGACTTCCGCAAGCTGGGCTGCGAGGTGCTGGGTGTCTCTGTGGACTCTCAGTTCACCCACTTGGCTTGGTAGGAGCAGGGACCAGGGAGGGAGGATGCAGCTAAGCTCACACAGTAGAGCCAAGCCTGTGGCCTCCCTTTCCTCATCTAGAAAAGAATGGAAATGATGACTCCTAAGTCCTTAAGGATGGATGATGACACTAATTAACATTTGGCAGCTAGATGCATGGCCCGTGAAGTTGCAGATGCTTTATCTCTCTTAGTTCTCAGAAGACAGGCTGTATTGTCCTATTTCATGAAGGTGGAAACTCCAGTTCACCAAGTGAAGGGCTGGGCCCCAGGACACAGACCAAGAGGAGGATGGGGACTCTGACATTAGCTCTCTACTGCTACTGCTCCAGCCATATGAAGCCACTTGGCTGGACATGGCAGGATTCTTGTCCCAGCTATGGGGATACAGCCCCTACACCTCCAGGGTGGGGTGGGTGGGGCTTGCAGGACCTGCTCTAAGGCCCCTTATCTGTGGTTTCCAGCACTCCCACTCCAACCCTTATCACTCCCAGGCTCATAGGGTGAGGACCCTGCTTTGTCAGACATCCTGAGGTCCCAACCCGGTCTCCCCTATCTCCAGGATCAACACCCCACGGAAGGAGGGAGGCTTGGGCCCCCTGAACATCCCCCTGCTTGCTGACGTGACCAGAAGCTTGTCCCATAATTATGGCGTGCTGAAAAGCGATGAGGGCATTGCCTACAGGTATGGAGGGGATGCACAATCCACTTCTGGGAGCCCTGTCCCCAGGATGACCAGACCACCAGCCCTGTCCCCAGGATAACCAGGCAGTGGGATGGTTTTCCCTTCCCTGGCCCTCAAAGTGGGAGCTCCCAGCTCCTTATCATGAACCATCATGTCCTCAGGGGCCTCTTCATCATTGATGGCAAGGGAGTCCTTCGCCAGATCACTGTTAATGATTTGCCCGTGGGTCGCTCTGTGGATGAGGCTTTGCGGCTGGTCCAGGCCTTCCAATACACAGATGAGCATGGGGAAGGTGAGTGGATACACACATTCATGTTCACGCATGAATAGGACCTTAGCTCCACTGTCAATCACTCGGACACTCACTGCCTGCCCCTGCACCTGTGTGGAATGGATGTTAGGGCCCTAAAGAAAATTCAGCTCAGGGCCTTGTCTGCAGGAAGTTTCCATCCTGGAAGTGGGTAAGGTCAGCTGAAATGCTCCAATACAAGAGCAGGCAGCTAGGTGGAAGCCTGTAATCCCAGGGGCTCAGTAGGCTGAGGCAGGAGGATTGAAAGTTCAAGGCCAGCTTCAGCAACTTAGCAAGGTCCTAAAAAATTTAGTTAGACCCTGTCTCTAAATAAAATATAAAAAGGGTTGGGGATGTGGTTCAGTGGTTAAATGCCCCTGGATTCAATCCCTGTTACAAAAAAAAAAAAAAAAAGAAGAAGAAGAAGAAGAAAGAAAGAAAAAAAGACCAGGCAGCTGGGAGGAGGTGATAGAGATCTATAAAAGTCATTTGAGAAGGCATGTTCCAAGTCAGGCTTGAATAATATTATTTGCATTAAAGATTAGAGTACCTTCCCCTCACCCCCTTGTGGTGTTAGGGATGGAACCTAGGCCCTTGCACATGCTAGGCAAAGATGAGCCACACCCCAGCCTGATCAGAGTATCTTGTTTTGTTTTTTGGTGCTGGGGATCGAGCCCAGGGCCTTGTGCATGCAAGGCAAGCACTCTACCAACTGAGCTATATCCCCAGACCCAGAGTATCTTCTTATGTGGAAGAGAAACCCAACTCCAGGTTCCCCAAGTCCATTAGGGCCAAGGGAGAAAGTGGATTAAAGGGGCCAAAAGAAAAAAAAAAAGTGAAGGCTAGAACAGGAAAATGTCAGCTAGAAGATACTGCAGCTGAGCTTGAGGGGCTTCTCTTAATATGCACATTCTTGGGTCTGGACCACTTGGTTCTAGCTTTGTCTTCTGCAATCCAGGATCTGGCATGCCCTCTGTTCGTCCCCTGAGCTTGATTATGGGGCTTTAGTCTCATGTGTGCATCCCTGTATCTTTCCACAGTTTGCCCCGCTGGCTGGAAGCCTGGCAGTGACACAATCAAGCCCAACGTGGATGACAGCAAGGAATATTTTTCCAAGCACAACTAGGCTGACAAACAGGCAGTGAGCCTGTGTCCTTGGATTCCATCTGTGCCCCTACCTGGGTGCTCTGTGCTGACCCAAGAAAGGCAGGACCTGCCCCTTCCAAACTCCATAGTAGGGGGAGGGCTGGTAAACTAGGCCAAGGCTTTCCACTTTCTCATCCCCTACATGGGATCTGGTTAATAGTGACCCCTTTCTATCCAACTGGGTACAGGTATATAGGTGACCAATAAAGTGTTAGGAACAGATATGACTGTGTTGGTGTGTTTTATCAGGGTGGGTACTTGCGCCCTGGAAAACCGACCCTGTGGTTACTAATTTTCTTTTTTTTTTTTATTTTTTATTTTTAATTTTTTATTGTGGGTTGTTCAAAACATTACAAATTTCTTGACATATCATATTCCACACTTTGATTCAAGTGGGTTATGAACTCCCACCTTCACCCCATACACAGATTGCAGAATCACATCAGTTACACATCCATTGATTTACATATTGCCATACTAGTGTCTGTTGTGCTCCGCTGCCTTTCCCATCCTCCACCCTCCCCCCTCCCCACCTCTCCCCTCCCCTCCCCTCCTCTCTCTCTACCCCCTCCACTGTATAACCCTGAGGGTCTCCTTCCATTACCATGCAATTTCCCTTCTCTCTCCCTTTCCCTCCCACCTCTCATCCCTGTTAAATGTTAATCTTCTTCTCCTGCTCTTCGTCCCTACTCTGATCTTAGTTACTCTCCTTATATCAAAGAAGACATTTGGCATTTGTTTTTTAGGGATTGGCTAGCTTCACTTAGCATAATCTGCTCTGTGTTTACTAATTTTCACCACAAGGTGGCGGCCTTACTTCATGCACTGCTGACTCCTTGCCTGAGAAGTTTCCAAAGGGCAGCGGAGGATGCTTGGTGCCCCTAGGAGCGGGGATAGGTTTCAGAACACCCTACATCCTGACAAGTGGCCATGCATTTCAGCATCTATACCATACCATCGGCCAGTCTGGGTTCAATGTCATTTAACAGTTGTGCTCTTCCCTGGGAAGGAAGACTACCAGCCCAGATGACTGTGCAAGTTAAAAGTATGTGAAGTTCTAAGCACCAGGCTCTACTTAAGGCCCAGTTAACAGTTACTAGAACTGGAAGGATCCCTGTTAAATCCAGTCTTATGGGGGAAGAAGGTGGGAACCCAGTCCTGAAAGCAGAACCAGCAGTGGGAGCCTGAGTTCCATTCCCAGTCCCAAGGAAGGGCTGTTGGTATACCCCTGCTGTGGGAGGGTGAGCATTACTTTAGGAGGCAGACTAATTAGAAGTAAGGCAGTGGGCTGGGGATGTGGCTCAAGCGGTAGCGCGCTCGCCTGGCATGCGTGTGGCCCGGGTTCGATCCTCAGCACCACATACAAACAAAGATGTTGTGTCCGCCGAAAACTAAAAAATAAATATTAAAAAAAATTCTTAAAAAAAAAAAAAAAAAAAGTAAGGCAGTGTTCCCAGGGGGTGCAGTTTTGATGATGCATGTATTTAAGCTAGTGACTTTGTCACTCTGAGCCCCCATTTCTTTCCAAAGAACAAGGCTAATATGCTCATTTAATCTATATACCCCTATTAATACTGCTACTCAGGCAGCATTAAGGGTCACTCATCTCATGTCCCTTGGAGTTTTTTCTACTTTTTTCTTGTGTGTGTGTGTGTGTGTGTGTGTGTGTGTGGTGTTGTTTTTTAGTGGTGATGGGACTGGAACCCTGGGCTTTTCTCATTCCTGTGCAAGTGCTCTACCACTGAGCCACACACCCCCTCCTGTATTTATTTATACATGGATTAACGAAAGTGTCTGTTCTGCCAGCCCCACCGCAATGACCTGGTTTCTTCTCTGCTCTTGAGGG